GAAAGGGAAAATGGATATAGATTTTATATTGGGGCTATCTGAGGATTTAAGTAGAAAAAAGAAATACCTTTGTTTGCAAGACCCTTTTCTGGGTCCCTCACGCCCTCCTTCCTGTAGGTAGGAAAGGACGAGACATTGGCCAGTCTCATGGCTGGTTTCCAGGATAAGAATGAGATCCGCGACATGTCCAGGAATGGCGCCTGGCCCCTGGCAGGGAAGCACTTGGATTCTTCCATGTCATTTACCTCCCTGGCCTCCCCGGCCACCCAGAAATGCCAGTACTGGTTTGGGTTTTCCTTCTGGCCAGACTGTGAGCTCCTTCAGGGAAGCCTCTCTCACATCTCTGTGTGCTCCCAGGCAATAAATCCTTGCGGAAGGAAGGGTGAGGTGCCTTTTCTTTCCTCCTCCTTCTGAGGAAGGCACTGGCCCCCTCTTGGGGAAAGGGCAGAGGGGTGGCGGTGGGCATGAGGTCACACTCAGGTCTTCAGGGATTAGCCTATAGGCAGTCACCATTCATTCCTCTCACAGCAGCTTTCACTCTATCACCTTTGGGAATGACTAGCACCTTGTATTTCTCTGAAAATGTCTGCCTCCCTCTCGTTAAATGCTCCCCTTCTGCACCCACATTTTAGTGTGTAAACCTGTCCTTTCCTTCCGGATGAACCTGTTCCTTCAAACTCCTCTATTCAAATGCACCTTCCAGAAGCGGAGGATGAGGTAAGCCCTTTGAGAGGCAGGGTAGTGAATGGGTGAATTTTTTTTTTTTTTTATAGTTTATATTTTCTTTTACACCCTGGCAAGCAGCTCAGAGAAGGAGCTGGGACTTCCCAAGAGAATCATGATGACCTGCACGTTGAAGGAGGGTTGGAGGAGGAGGGCTGGGAGGAGACATTCAGTTTGCCCTTGATGCTAAGTCTTTAAATCTGGAAGCGGTAGGAATGCTGTGCCGTGAGGAGCGGGTGAAGGCTTTCCTGGAGTGTAATCTGTGTCGTTCTCCCTGGTAAAGAAGGTGATGCCAGCCGCCAGCAGAAGGGAGCCTGGCGGTGTCCATAGGGGCACATTGCACCGTCCAGTCACCGTGAGCTTGACGCAGTGCCTGGGGCCTGGCAACCCGCCCTTGAATCCTTCCCCCACGAGAGACTGCAAAGGTTCTTCTCCAAGCAGAGGACAGAAAGAATCCGTCCAATCAAACTGTGTTTGTTGAGAGTTAGATGCTAGAAGAAGGCACTGACTCTGCACTTGAGGTTATATAGCCTCAATGTGATGTGCGTATGTTGTCGATGAGTGAGAATGAGGAAAATGTCTGCTTCTTACTATCCTCATGAAGTGTAATTTTAATAGAAAAACGTAATAAAACAAAAATATAGGGGTGCCTGGGTGGCTCAGTCGGTTAAGCGTCCGATTTCGGCTCAGGTCATGATCTCACGGTTTATGGGTTTGAGCCCCGTATCGGGCTCTGTGCTGACAGCTCAGAGCCTGGAGCCTGTTTCAGATTCTATATCTCCCTCTCTCTCTCTGCCCCTCCCCAGCTCACGCTGTCTCTCTCTCTCTCTCTCTCTCTCTCTCAGAAATAAATAAAACATTAAAAATTTTTAAACAAAAATAAAAATATAACTAAATTAATCTGGTGGTCTTAGGGTCTCTCCATATCATTCGTGTCTAATCACACGTTGTCTTGCCCTGTGAGAAAAAAAACAACTGCATTGTATGTAGTTACAGAGTTTGGGACCAAGTTGCCTGCATCCAAGCGTGTCCGCTGCGTTTCCGTGTCTCATGTCCGTGGGGACAGTGGCAGCTTGGTTTCAGTACTGTTGTCCTGCAGGCTGCCTCCCCCTTGCCATCTGTCAGGCTGGCCCCCGAGATGAACCCCCCCCCAACAATCAAGGAGGAAGTAGTAAGCTCCAGAAGGACTGGCTGTACAAATACAAATTTGTATTAGTACAAATTTGTATAGTGGGAGTTCGCCATGCCTTGCTAGGTTTTGTAAACTTGAGTCTTGTCCTTCCTCAGCCTTGCTTCTTCGACTTGTTCCTCCCTCCCCTTCGAGCCCACAGCCCCACTGCGGGTTTTCTTGCGAGGAAGTCAGCAGCACTGGACACTTAGCAGGCCGAGCATGGCTGCACAGAATTTCTGTGCATAAGGGAAGGGTACCTCCTTCTGTCCTCTCTCCTCTGCGTGCCACTGGGCTAACTCCTGCGAAGATTCTGGTCTTCCCATACTCAGTCGCCACTGAAAGTTCAGAGCCACCACAGCCTTATCAGTGTCATTTGGATAACTTGTCCCCCTGGACGCTTTACTCTGAAAGGTGAGCACACTTCCCTGGCTTATACGCAAGTCCAGAAGGAACTTCCTCTTAGTTCCTAAACCGCAGGTGTCCGCTGTGGACTCAGACCTCAGCATGTGCTGAGCCCTGCCTGCGCAAGATCCCGCACCCCGCCCGTCCCCGGGGAGCTCTCCGCCGCTTGCACTGTTCTCTCCTCTATAAAAAGAGTCTTTCCAGATCTATTTCTGTTTCTCTTCTCCAGCCTCTCGCTATCAACACATTAGACCATCTCACGGGGGAAGGTGTGCCAGTACCCTTTACTCAGGACGAATCAAAAGCAATTTGAAACCAGGAGCTTGTGAAAGGATCATGAAATGATTTTGAAGTGGAAAAGCAGGTTGGGTGCTTTCATCGCGGAGCCAGGACTGCCTTGTGTGTCTGGCGTCCCGTAGGCCTGACGGGAACCCTTTCCTACTTCCTCACAGCGCGACCTTGAACGAGTTTGCAGCCTTGGACAAGTTACTTAATTGCTTGGGGCCCAGGGTCTGCATCTGATCCACTGGGGATCCTCAAGCCTCCCCCTTCCCCGAGCAGGGTTCTCATTGGATTAAATGTGAAGGCATCAAATTAAATTGCACATCACGTCTGACAGTCATAGTTACTGCCATTACATTATTTTGCGTTTACCAGGGAGGATGCAGGAATGTGTTTTTAGCGACATGCCTTTTGGTGAGTCCCTCGCATACAGTCTTCTATCCACTCTTTTTGGATATTTTATTTCTTGTCCCTCTTCAAGTAGCAGAATTGGAAGTTGTGGCTTTGAACCGTGTTCCCTGCTTTTTAAAAGTACTTACGATTGAATTAAATATTCATGCCGTTAGGGCAGGTCGTTTGCATGCAACATTATCAGATGCTCCTCGAAAATTGTCTCGTGGCAACTTGTCTCTGCATCTGTGACTTTTTTTAACGGACATCGTGTTCCTTTGATTCCCCCGCTGCAGTGGGAAAAGTTCACAGAGCATGAAACAAATTAACATGACAGAAAATTACCCCTCGTGAAGTGTACGGGCTCCTTTTGAAACATCTCCTTTGAGGTACAGAAAGATAAGCAGGCCTCCTTCGCAAATGATGGAACTATTCAACTTTCCGGTACTTCAGGGGACTTCCAGGGACCCCCAGTTACTCGGTTCTTTTCCTGTAAATGATTCATGAGCAGGAGCCTCACGATACATTCTGTATCTAGTGAGAATGGCCTCTTTTCTGTGAACATTTTCCTTTTGGTGTTTTGGTGTCTCTTAGCCTGTGTGGAAGGTGTCATGGGGAATGGCTTGGCCTCACCCAAGTGTGTGGGTTGGGGCGTCACACTTACCTGCTGTGAGACCCAGTGTCCTCCTCTGTCTGCAGGCTTCGTAGCAAGTGGAAGATCTAAAGAGATGTGCATCAGTACCTTACCCTAGCTTCCATCACAAACTAGAAGCTATTACTTGTATTTTTATAGGTGTCTTCGCAGCTCTAAAAGGAGGTCCCGGGGCGCCTGGGGGCTCAGTCAGTTAGGCATTCGACTGCGGCTCAGGTCATGATCTCTCAGTTCGTGAGTTCAAGCCCTGCGTCAGGCTCTGTGCTGACAGCTCAGAGCCTGGAACCTGCTTCAGGTTCTGTGTCTCCCTCTCTCTGTGCCCCTCCCCTGCTCATTGTCTGTCTGTCTCTCTCTCAAAAAAATAAACATTAAGAAAAAGGTCCAACCCCCCTGCCCCCTTTCTTCACGTCCCCCCTAGCAGGACATCTGTCTTGCACAGTAGGAAGGCCCTTCCCCTTCTATTGATATCATGCAGCAGCTTCTCTGCCCTACAGTGTCTGGGGAGCTGGCAACCACCCCACCAGCCAAAACACCGTCCTCAGACCTGTCACCATCTTCCCGAGACCCTGTCTCCTTGTAGTCACTGACTTCTGGTCTCTCTCTTCCTGAAGCATTTTATTTTGGTACAGGTACAGGGATTCATGGATTCCCAGACAGCTGCCTGGAAAATAGTACCTTGTCCCACAGGCGAAACTAACGTGTGGTATTTGAAGTCAGGGCAGGGGTGACCTAGGGGAGAGTGGTCTGCGGGCACCATAATTCACATATGAATTGGAAGGGTGATATTTCCATTCTGGGTTGAGAAAGTCTTTAATGAAATTAAATGAGGAAGCAAGTCTAAGGCTTTAAGCGGATGTGGTTGGAAGACTACTTATTAGCTGTTTGCTCATACACATTGGTGCATATACGGCCTGTGGACGTTCCACTTACCCTGCTACTGATTGCGTTTGGTGAAAATGAAAATTTAAACATGTCGCCACCCTTTTATCCTATAGTCATACTTCTCATACTTTGAAAAATGCTTTCTTGCGTTATCCTTCTCTGTGTCATCAATTAGCAATTATCTGCCTGACTAGAGAAGAGATCATTTATAAAAGTGTATGATTTTAAAACTCCTGCTATACCATTAGGTGTGCTTGGGGCACAAATTTTTATTAGCATTGGGGTTACTTGCTTGCTTCTGTTAGGCTTTGCATAATAAAATTCATTCTATTGTATGACAGCCGGGAATTAGCTGGGAAGTGGGGAAGAATGAGTTTTTCTATGGATAGAGAACAAGCAGCAAGTAATAGGTACCCTGGATTTTAGGGGTTTTTTTTTCCTTTGAAGCAGTTTAGTTCCCAAAGAAGGCATTTTAATTTGCTTCTTATTTTCTCGTAGATTGGAAGGAAGAGTGATGCAGAAATATACCAACATGATTCAGGTAAATGGATTTTTAATTTCTTTATGTACCATTTATGCTTGGTTTATATTTCCCATGTTTTCCCACTGAGAAGAACTAAAAAAACAACTTTTGTGGTCAGCTTGATACAGTGAATGTTTTGGGTACATAGAGGTAATAGTCAAATGCATATTTATACTATTTAATTAATTTAGTTACACATGTATATTTAACAATGTGTATCTATGTCAAATAGTATTAGAACTAATATTTTTTTCCTACCTCAGAGTAACTTTCATCCAGCTCTTTCCACACACATTTGTTGTCACTGTCTCTGTCATAAACCACATTTTTGAAGCATCCAGAACCATTTTCCAGAACAGGCTACCATTTACTTGTTTGCAATGCAGTATATGTGGAATCCCTGTGCGTGATGCTATAATTGGAAGTTTTACTCCAAGGTAAGTAACCCTTTGCCCAATGTAAGGACAGTTACTGTTTCCATTCTTTCTGTGTCGATGAACATTGGTGATCTCCACTATGTAATGGTGTATGGGTTTGCTCTGTTAAATACACTTTTCCTTCTTTTTTCCTTTCAGCTACTCATTCGTTTTATTTATTTTGAGGTAATCACATGCACATTGTTTACAATGAGAATAATCTTGTAACAGCCGCCCCCAGTTGTTTTTATACTGTCGTTAGCCCCTTTTCAACCCTTTTACTCATACTCTCTTGTTTGCCTATTTCTAAACAACACGCCGTATGCTCGAAGTGCCATTTATTGATTGCTTTGAAAATTTTAGACTTCTAGGGGCGCCTGGGTGGCTTAGTCGGTTAAGCGTCCGACTTTCTCTTAGGTCATGATCCCACGGTTCTTGGGTTCGAGCCCCGCGTCGGGCTCTGTGCTGACTGCCAGCTCAGAGCCTGGAGGCTGTTTCAGTCTGTGACTCCCTCTCTCTCTGACCCTCCCCTGCTCGCGCTGTCTCTCTCTCTCTCTCTCCTAGAAATAAAAAAAATTAAAAAAAAAAAAACATTAAAAAAAAAAAAGAAAATTTTAGACTTCTATAGATTGATTTTCTGCAAGGATTTAGCTCCCGTGCGTAACCCTTCACCCTCAGTGCACACCTCCTCTTCCCATCTCCATTTTGTGGCTCTCGTTTTGTTGCAGTGTGTGCATAAATAAATACTTACTGTTTACCCGATTATGACTGTATTTTGCTTGTGGCTGAGCTTTGTGATATTTATGTTGAAACGTCTCAGGCTGTTCTGCTTCCCAGGTGGTTGTGCATGAACTGTTTTACTGTTTTATTTCTCTGGAAAATGTTTGATTCTTTTCTTTATCCTAGAATTCTGAAATTTCCATTTGGGACATAGGTCATAGGATCTTCTGATGTTAGTGGTCCTTTCAATCCTGAGGCTCATTTCCTTCAATTTGGACAATTTTCTTGTATTATTTCTTGGATAATTTCCTTTTCACTCTTTTCTTTTTCCTCGTTTCTGCAAGTTTGTTAGATATTTGGACCCCCTGGTTTGGTTCTCTCATTTCTTATGTTTTTTGTTTGTTTGTTTTTCTGAACCATTTCCTATCTCTATGTGTTTTTTGTTCTACTTTCTGAGAGATTTTCTTAGGGGTATTGGACTTTTTTTAAATTAAAGCAATTTTTTAATGTTTATTATTTTGAGAAAGAGAGCAAGCGAGCAAGCAGGGGAAGGGCGGAGAGAGAGGGAGGGAGACACAGAATCGGAAGCAGACACAGCACAGAGCCCGACACAGGGCTCTTAACTCACAGACTGTGAGATCATGACCTGAGCTGAAGGCAGCCACCCAAATGACTGAGCCACCCAGGCCCTCCAGGGTTATTATACTTTTAATTTCTACCAGCATGTTTGTAATTCCACACTTCATTTTTATTGGTCTCTGAATGTTTTGTTTTTAAAAATAGAATGCTGTTTCTGTTTCATGGGAATAGGGATGGTTTGTCTTGGGAAAAGATCTAGGGCTTTAATTGCTCCCCACTTTTTCTTTGTGCTTAAAATAACAATTTGTTTTACCTTCTAGTCCTGTAGGTCAGGAGTCTGATGGGTCTCCCCGGCCTCAGTCAAGGTGTTCCCCCCAGCCTTTTCTTGCTTCTGGAGGCCCCCTTCCAGGTGGGAGCCTCTTCACAGGAGCAGAAGCAGGTCAAATACACCTCGTACTGCTTTACTCTGACTTCCTCTGCCTCCTTCTGTCACATTTTAGGACCCTTACGATCACATTGGACTCACCTAGATAATCCACATTATCTACTCCCACATTTTCTTATTGTGGGAAAAAAATATGAAATTTGCTGGATTAACCATTTTTCAGGGCATAGTACAGCAGTGTTAACTATATCGATACTGTTATGCAACAGGCGTCTAGAACTTTTTCCTGTTGCAAAACTGAAACCCTGCACGCACCAGTACAGCTGTCCCTTCCTCCCTGCCCTGGCCTCTGGCAGCCACCCTTCCTCTCCCTATTTCTAACAGTCTGGCTGCTCCAGATGCCTCATGGTAGTGGAAACTTCCAGAATTCGTCTTTGGGTGACAGACTCATCTGACATGGCATGATGTCCTTGAGCTCTTTCCCAATATAACCTGTGACAGGATTGCTTCATTTTATAAGATTGAATAATATACCATTTTATGTCTGGAGCACTTTTTCTTTATCCATTTTTCCACTGACGGACATTTCGGTCGCCTCCTCCTCTTTGCTGTGGTGAATAGTGCCGCAGTGAAGGTGGGTGTGCAAATACCTTTTCTTTTTAATTAGTTTCTTTTTTATTAAAAAATTTTTCCGCTTTTAATTCAGCTGTAATTAGCACACAGTGTTATATTAGTTTCAGGTGTACAATACAGTGATTCAACAATTCCGTACATTACTCAGGGCTCATCATCGTATGTGTACTTTTTTTTTTTAATGTTTATTTTTTTGAGAGACAGAGCGTGAGCAGGGGAAGGGCAGAGAGAGAGGGAGACACAGAATGTGAAGCAGGCTCCAGGCTCTGAGCTGTCAGCACAGAGCCCGACATGGGGCTTGAACTCATGAACTGCAAGATCATGACCTGAGCTGAAGTCGGCCACTTAACCGACTGAGCCACTCAGGTGCCCCGCTATGTGTGCTGTTAATCCCCTTCATCTGTTTCACCCATCCCCTACCCACCTCCCCTCTGGTGACCATCAGTGTGTGCTCTGTAGTCAATTAAGAGTGTGTTTGTTTGTCTCTCTTTTTCTTTGTTTGTTCACTTGTCTTTTTTCTTAAATTTTTCATATGAGTGAAATCATATGGCATTTGTCTTTCTGTGACTTATTTCACTTAGCATTGTACTCTCTAGCTCCATCCATGTTGTTGCAAATGGCCAGATTGCATTCTTTTTCACAGCTGAATAATATTCCATCACACACACACACACACACACACACACACACACACACACACCTTCCCTTCTTTATCCATTCATCAGTCAGTGGATACTTGGGCTGCTTCCATAGTTTGGCTCTTGTAAATAATGCTGCTATAAACATAGGGATGCATGTATCCTTTTGAGTTAGTGTTTTTGTATTTGGGGGGCAAATCCCCAGTAGTGCCATTACTGGATCCTATGGTAGTTGTATTTTTAATTTTTTGAGGCCCTCCCATGCTCTTTCCACAGTGGCCGCACCAGTTTGCACTCCCACCACCAGCGCACCGGGCTCCTTTCTCTCCACATCCTCGCCAGTGCTTGTTGTCTCTCGTGTTTTTGATTTTCGCCATTCTGACCGGTGTGAGGTGGTAGCTCAGCGAGTGTTGATTTTCATTTCCCCGATGATGAGCAATGCCAAGCATGCTTTCATACCCTTGTTCACCATCTCTGTACCTTCTTTGGGAGGAATGTCTGTTCAAGTTCTTTGCCTGTATTTTTTTTTTTTTTTTAATTAGGTTATTTGTTTGTGGGTTAAGTTGTAGGAATTCTTAGTATATTCTATTAGCCCCATTATTGTATACATAGTTTGAAAATATTTTTTTGCTTTTAGTCGGCTGCCTTTTTACTGATTGTTTCCTTTGCCAGGCAGAGGTTTTTAGGTTTCATCTAGTCACATTTGTATATTTTTGCTTTTGTTGCCTGCACTTTTTTGTATCATATACAATGAATCATTGCCAAATCCGGTGTCCTGAAGCTTTCTGCCGGTGTTTTCTTCTCGGGGTTTTGTTGTGTCAGGTGTTATGGACAGACCTTGGATCCATGTGCATCGTCTCAGGTAAGGGGCTACTGATCTTTATGCAGACTTTTAACCTGCCCCTCAGTTTACCCAGGAGCCACAGCCCCATCTCCTGAGCCTTCCGGAACGGGCAGCCGGCGTTTGCTTGCTGCCCAGGCAGTGAGGTTGGTTCTCCGCTCTGCTCAGCAGTCATGTCTCTCCTCTGCTCCAGTGCCCTTTTCTGTTCTCCTTGTCCTTAGGGGTTTTTTATCTTCTTTCTCTCGTTACTATAATTTTGATGGGGATATAGAGGGAAACAGAGATAAACAGCCCCGTTCCTTTGGCCATCTATCACCCCCCAAATCCAGATTGATTTTTAAAATGATATTTAAACGGATTTTTAAAAAATGATACCTCATAAATGCTATTGTTAGGTTATACCTCCAGAAAACATTGTTCAATCTCTTCCTTTGCTTCCTTTTTGTTAAAACATCTAAGGCTAGCCTTCATTGAACTACCCTTCCTAAACATTTTTGAATTCAGAATAAACAAATTTTTGTTCATAATGTGAGGTCAAGAATGTGAGATGATACCTGTTTCCTGAGGCATAGTTTTCTTACAGGGAAAATCCTGGATTTAACTTGAGGTGTATGTACTGTATGTTGGTATCCTCAGGAAACGATGTTCTTTAATGTAAATATATTTTACTTGAACACTTTTAAGCCAATATAATGTCAAGCCTAATTTTTATTTGTTTTGGTTTTTTTAGTTAGTTTGTGGCAGCAGCTCTCTTTGTGACTGTACACATGTTCCTCGACTTAAGAGGGTCACGTCACGATGAACCCGTAGTAAGCTGAAACTATCGTAAATCAAAACTGCATTTAACACACTTACCATACTGAACATGGCTCAGTCCAGCCCGCCTTGAATGTGCTTGTTTAGAACACTCTCACGTGCCTGCAACGGGGCAAAATTCTCTAACACAAAGCCTGCTTTATGAGAAAGTGGTGAAGAACTCATGTAACTTATTGGGCGTTGGACTGAAAATGAAAAGCAGAAGGAAGGAGAAGGGTTGTGGTGTGTATGGAGTGATCGTCAGTTCCCACCGTGTCTCCTAGCCGCCTGGGCGCTGAGGCTCAATGCCACCTTGTGCCCCGAGAGAGCGTTCTACTGCACATCACGAGACCAGGCAGGGGCGGAATTCAAAGTATGGTTTCTACTGACCCTGTATTGCTTTGGCAGCATCGTAAGGTGAAAAACACCGTAACTTAAACTGTTGTAACCCAGTGACAGTCTATGTTTGGTCATTTACAGGTGTAGCACTATTTCTTACTATTTCATGAGAAGATAAAGAGAGATTAGATCGGGCACTGCCTGCTGTGAGTTGGTCCTCAGGGCTGTTAAGACTGGTGTCTTTTGTTCAAGAACTGTTTCCTCACATAGTTAATTTTGTGGGTAGGCTCGAGATTTCAGCTACCCTGTTTGGTGCACGGTCCTAGGATTTTTATCCTCGGGTCCAGGAATGGGCTTCAAAGAGCTTAAGGTCTTTCTGGAATTTGAATGGTATTAGAATAGGCTTCACTTTCATCAGCTGGTCATGTGATCCGGCAAAGTGTTGAGGACCCACTTTTAATGGATTGTTCTAGAGAGAAAAGATAGAATGCTATTGATTAACTTGAACTTGATTACAAAAAGATGCCGTGTTGCTTGCTGCCTCCAGATTGTGTATTCTTTCACGTGGAAGTGCACACGGCTGTGCATGAGGGACTGAGTGAAGAACGCTCTTTGTCCTTTGTCAGAGGCTAAACCTCTCCAGCTTCCTGGTTATGCAAAAGCCCAGTTACACATATGTGACCAGAAGAGGGGGCATTTATGAGAGTGCTGTTTTGGCCTCACAGAAGTGAGCACCTTTTTATCTGCTTGTAAAGAGGATAACTTAAGTATTGTTACCCTTTGTTTTCATCCTGAAGCTGCTGCAGTTAATTTGTGAAAATCAGTTATGTGTTGACAACTAAAGAATGTAGATACATATATAAAAGGAGAATAGAGAGTTACACACTTCAGTTTTCAACTAAGAAAAGATGACGGGAGGGAGGGGTAGGGGAGGGAAGGGCATGGAGGAGGGTGCTTGTGGGGATGAGCACTGGGTGTTATATGGAAACCAACTTGATAATAAACTATTTAAGAAAAAAAAAAAGATGGCAGGGGGTGGGGCACCTAAGTGGCTCAGTTGGTTGAGCCTCTGACTCTTGATTTTGGCTCAGGTCATGATCTCACAGTTCATGAGTTCAAGCCCCAAGTCATGCTCTGGACTGACAGCACAGAGCCTGTCTGGGATTCTCTCTCTCCCTGTGTCTCTCTGTCCCTCTCCCCCCAAATAAATAAATAAACTTTAAAAAATCAAAAGATGGGGTTTAATATTATGTATATTCATGGCGCGCACACACACACACACACACACACACACACAACCTTTACAAAAGAGAAAGAAGAGGGTGGAGGTTGGAGAAGGTCAGTTGTGAATTTTTTGTTTCCAGTCTAATACTTCATCATTTTTGCTGACAGTGACATGCACTAGATTTCTAAGATGTCCTTAAGCTCAACAGTCTTCTGGCTCCCTTTTCCAAGTGATTAAGCTCAAGTTGCTCCTTGATTCCAGGTCCATCCCTGAGGCTGTGGAGGTTGCACAAAAGCATCTGGTTGGGAGAGCTATGAAAGAAGAGACAAGACCCTGCCTGAGGAAGCCTACATGAGAGTAACTTTAGAGGAGCCTTGCAGTAGGTACAGAACAGCAGCGGTTGGAGGTACGTAAGAGCGGGGGGCCCAGCCTGCCGTGCTCGGTCTGTGGAAGGGCAGCTGTTCTTAGGGCGGAACCTCACTCACCTTCCGGCCTCAAATGCAACGTGACTGAGTAGGGGGATGTTGCTCTGACCTCCTCCTTGAGCAGCTCTGATGCCACCCCTCTGGGGCTCTTCCTGTTGCCTGAAGGACAAGAAAGGCCATAAAGGCAACATGCAACTCTGGACAGATGACAGTGATAACACATTTCTGGTCAGAGACCTCCCTGCCTTTTATTGTGGGAACGCGGAAGCCAGTATCAAAGCTCAATATCCTTTGAACCGGCTCTTACTGCCTTTACTCTCACCCTTGACGTCTTGAACGACGTCAAGGCTATATCTGATTGGATAGTGGTTGCATCAAGTTGCCTGATGCCCTGTTCATCATGAACTTTACCCTGCTTTGACACCCTCCTCCCCTAAAGTTATGTTGTTAAGTGGTTCCTTCATTTCCTTGCTTATTGCCTTTAATTCTTATCTCTTCAATCATGTTTATCGTCAAGGTCAGGGTCACCCATTATTTCATATCTTGTGACCTTCAATATATGTCTAGCTTTTGATGCACTGGCTCTTTTATTATGGAATAGCCCAAATCATGTCATGTGTCACTTTGATCCTTTAGGATTTTGTTTTTGGTTTTATTTGGGGGAAGGAGGGTCAAGAGAAAGAGGAGACAGAGAGAATCCCAGGCAGGCTCTACACAGTCAGTGCAGAACCCAGTGTGGGGCTTGATCTCATGAACTGCAAGACCATGACTTGAGCCAAACTCAAGAGTCGGATGCTCAGCCGACTGAGCCACCGCGATGCCCCTTGTTTTTCTTTTAGTCTACGAATGTAGGACACAATAGACGTGCCTGGGCCAAATATTTTATGTCTTAGATTATCACAGTGTCCTGGGAACATTAAATAAGTCCCATTTTCCAGATAAAGATATTGAGATTCCAAGTGGTTCAATAAGTGGCCAGCTGTTTCCCACAGTATACGTGGCAGAAATGGCATTTGGCAGTAGGTCTGTCTGTCTTCCACTCCACGCCGTGGAGACAGTGTACCATGCTGTCCCCCTTTTTGAGGCAGGATTTGACAAATACCCTAATGCTTGTGGAATTCTTCCACCATTGTTTGCTATTTATTCCCAACTCATGGTGCTTACTTGGTTTATAGTTGTGTTTGCAAAATATAAGGAGCATAGGAAAGTTTAATATTTTCAACCATTACTGTTTCCTAATTTTACTGAGAGTATATTACTGGTATGAGACATTAAACATGTCCCTTTTGAAACATAGGCTCTCATGTCTTCACAGGTAAGTTCAGAGTTGACCATAAGGCCAGTAGAGGAGGTAGGAGTGGCTTTCATCTTTCTGACTCAGCCCTGTTGTGTCTGCGACATGATGTCCCCATTACCCAGACCTTCCAGTATGCAGTTAGGGAGGGTGACGTAGGAGAGCGATGCGGCTCTGCAGGGAGTCCTGTAACGTAGTTCACGGAGGCTGCTCTGCAGCCCAGATCCTTTATAGTGTAGACCATCTAGTCAAGTGCTTCGTGTTGGCCGAGTGGTCATGTCAATGTGTGTGGCTGAGAAGTTGTCTTGAAGGTTGTGAGTTTTAAGTTTGAGTCTGTTTAAGAATAAATGGAATCCACCTATTTTGGTTTTTGGTTTTTTTTCAGTAGTGGGCTACATGATTTGAAAATCTGTGTATTTAGGTTTCTGAAATATTTTTATTTAATTAGCGGATGCTATGTAGACCCATAAATATCTTATGTTTTTTAATTTATTTATTTTTAGAGTGAGAGATTGCGTGTGTGCATGTGTGCATGAGTGGGGGAGGGGCAGAGAAATAGGAAGAGAGAGGATCCCAGACAGGCTCCACACTGCCAGCATGGAACCCAACACAGGGCTTGAACCATTGAACCATGAGATCATGACCTGAGCCAAAATCAAGAGTCCAACACTTAACTGACTGAGCCACCCAGGCACCTGACCCATAAATACTTAAAACCTTCACTATGGGGTGCTTGGGTGGCTCAGTAGGTTAAGCGTCCGACTTCAGCTCAGGTCATGATCTCACAGTTCGTGGGTTCGAGCCCCGCGTCAGGCTCTGTGCTGCCAGCTAGCTCAGAGCCTGGAGCCTGTTTCAAATTCTGTGTCTCCCTCTCTCTCTGATCCTCCCCTGCTCACTCTCTCTCTCTCTCTCTCTCAGAAATAAATAAAAACATTAAAAAAAAAAATCTTCATTAAAAGCCTGGGAGGTGGGTGTGATCTACCTTCTTTGAAAGGTGACCCCGCCCAGGCTATGGCATTGTGAAACTTGCCCGTCCTGCCCGTCAGAGGCTGGTGGAGTCCATACTCCCGAGTGCATACAGGTGTGATTTCACTGACTGATTTCCACGATTATCCATCCTGGCTGATTATGCACAGCAGTGACATTCAGATTGCAGACGCGTCCAGGAACTTTCTTATGCTTTGCATCAACTGCAGTCTTCCTACAAAGAGCTAGATAAGCCTCATCCCCACAGAGGTGAAGCCTTGTAGATGGGTCTGGTGTGTCCCTATTGGGGCTGGGCCGTGTGGTTTTCCGGGACTGCGCCGCCCTCGAGAATGGGGAGCACATATCACACGTGCCCCGGCCACACCTGTTTCCCACACGCTTACTGCACTGTGGTACCAACCAGGGTCCGCTCCCTGCGCACAGCTGCGTGGGCTTCCTTCCAAAGCAGTCGGGCCTTGAGTTTGACTACACAAGCACACGGGTAAGGGCCGCCCTGGCATTTATTTATATAGGCATCTCAAAATCTACAAGATATGCGGAACTCGAAATGTCAGGCATGCAGTGTCAATGTCCCTCTAAGTAAAATTTCTTTTTGTTTGTAAGTGTGTTTTTTCCCTAGTACTGCATCGATGAGCTCAGACAACAAAATACAAACCTCCACGCAGAGGTAGCCACCGGTAGATCCAATTTTGGTGCCGATGCTTACAGGTTTCATTCTTAGGAATAAGTAGGCCTCTTAAAAAGAACAGAATTAGGGGCGCCTGGGTGGCTCAGTCGGTTAAGCGTCCAACTTTGGCTCAGGTCATGATCTCACAGTTCATGGGTTCAAGCCTCGCGTTGGGCTCTGTGCTGACAGCTCAGAGCCTGGAGCCTGCCTCAGATTTTGTGTTTCCCTCTCTCTGTGACCCTCCCCTGCTCATGCTGTCTCTCTCTCTCAGAAATAAATAAAACATTAAAAAAAAAACAATTAAAAAAAAAAGAACAGAATTAGAGTGATAGTGTTCAGGGTCCATTTTTATTTATGGCTTGAGTGTTTTCCCCACGTTTCAAACTTTTCTTTTACAACATGCTAAAAAGGGGCTAAAAAGTATTCTGTGTGGGTAATATCAGAAGTGATTCCGCCCAGTTAATTGATAGACCCGATCCTTATTCAGTTCAGTTAGTACCCCTCCACATTAGGCCACAGTGATAGGAGAGTATCAAAATAAACATAATTGCCAAAAAGTTTCCTACCTCCTGGCCCCCTAAGTGGCTCAGTCGGTTGAGTGTCTGGCTTCAGCTCAGGTCATGATCTCCTGGTTTGTGGGCTGGAGCCCCACATCGGGCTCTGTGCTGACAGCTCAGAGCTGGGAGCCTGTTTCAGATTCTGTATCTCCCTCTCTCTGTCCCTCCCCCGCTCTTGCCTCTGTCTCTGTCTCTCTCTCTCTCAAAATAAATAAATGTTAAAAAAAAAAAAAAAGAAAGACTATGGGATGAGAAGACCCAAATGACTTCTGCTACCACACTGTGCAATGAACATGACTTGTAGGTTTCCCAGTACAGATGCTGTGCATGAAGGGAACACTGGAAATTCTCTTCTGACCCGGACACTTTGCAACCTGCTTTTTCGTTCACTCAGGTGACTCCTCTTTGAAACTGTTCAAATTCTTCTTTGCAGATATTTCACTCTACTACTTGCTTAATGTATTTGATGCTTCATGCACTAGTTAATTGAGCATTTCCCCCCTCTTTTTGTGGCTCTTTCACACGGGTTAAACCCTAGGGCAGACAGCTGCACTGACCGAAGGAAACCACAGGCATCCTCAGCGATGCCGCCTTTTCACTTCCCTGGAGACACAGTCCCAGTGCAGCCCCGGGCATGGCTTGTGAACGGGAGTTCTCCCCTGAGAAGGTGACAGCTGGGACGGGCTACCGGGTGATAGAAGCACTCTACCAGCAACAGGCCTATGTGAAGCGGGGACCGTAATGTATTGTTTCTCATTATTGTTCTCTCACAGACATTATTATGAGTTCGTCACCGTCACCATCTCACCCAGGCCACTGCTTTCCAGACGTGGTTCCTTATTGCCCTGGGGATTCCAGTGTGCCAGGGGGCCGGGGCAGGGCTGCGGGGGTGGGGGCGGGGAGGACCTGGTCTTTGACCTCCTATTGTCCTGTCCAGCCACAGCTCGGCTTTCATATGTTTCATAATTGAACTTCTACAACGTTTCATTTAAAGAAAGGATGCAGCTGCTCAAGGAAGTAAAGACTGAGAGTCATTGGGGTATATAGAACCCACGGGAGTGTGGAAAAGGGAAGGGGAATCGGTGTTCACACTGTTACTTCATGTTTCTCCTATAGGGACCTGGTGCTTCTTGGGTTTGGTGCTTAACATAATCCCTCCAGTTGGAATTCCCTTAGACGGACCTGCTTTAAAGACCATGGTTTCCATAGATGTGCCTCAGAGGAAGTTAGGTCAGCAGAGCTGGTGGGTTAGTCTACAACCACTGGTGGTGGAACTCATCTTTAGCGATGGGTTCAGCAGATGCTGGTAATCGTAACTTCTTCAGGGCCTAGGACACTGGGTTCTCTGTGAGGGTCGATGTGGCTAGTAGGAAGATGTCCTACAGTCAGAGTGATGTGGTGCGTGACTTTGAGCCTGACAGTTTGTGACATCTTCATGACTATTTCTAG